TAGCTAGGATGGTCTTGATCTCCTGACCTCGTGATCCGCCCGTCTCGGCCTCCCAAAGTGCTGGGATTACAGGCTTGAGCCACCACGCCTGGCCTCACTTTTGAGTGCAGTGGCATGATCATGGCTCACTGCACCCTCAAACTCCTGGAATCACACAAATCCTCCCACCTCAGCCTTGAGAAACTGGGACCATAGGCACATGGCACCACACCTGGCTACATTTTCTTATTTTTTTGTAGAGACAAGGTCTCACTTCGTTGCCCAGGCTTGTCTCAAACTTCTGGGCTCAAATGGTTCTCCTGCCTTGGCCTCCCAAAGTGCTGGGATTACAGTTGTGAGCCATTGCACCCAGCTGAAATTTTTTTAAACTACCATTTATAACAGCACCAAAATGTGAAAATTTGGGTATAAATCTTTTAAAATATATTCATGATCTATAACTGAAAACTACAAAACTGATTTCTAATGAAATAAAATGTAGAGATAAACCATGTTCATTGATTGGTATATCAGTGATTCAGTATTGTTAAGTTGTTCGTTCTCCACAAAGTGATCTATAGATTCAGAGTAATTCCAACAAAATCCCAGCAGCATTTTTTATAGAAATTGACAGGCTGACTGCTATGGACTGAATTGTGTCCTCCCCAAAATTTCATGCTTTGAAACCCTACCCCCTCATGTCATGGTATTTGGAGATGGGACCTTTGAGAGATAATTAGGTTTGAATGAGGACATGGCCTTCATGGTGAGGTTAGTATTCTTCTAAGAAGAGACACCAAAGAGCTTGTTCTCCCTCATTCGCTCTCTGCCATGTGAGGACATAGTGAGAAGGTGGCCATCTACAAGCCGGGAAGAGAGCCTTTACAAGAACTATACCATGCTGGCACCCTGATCTCAGCATTTTTTTTTTTTTTTTTTTTTTTTTTGAGACAGATTCTTGCTGTGTTGCCAAGGCTAGAGTGCAGTGGCATGATTTTGACTCACTGCACCCTTTGCCTCCTGGGTTCTAGCAGTTCTGCCTCAGCATCCTGAGTAGCTGGGACTACAGGTGTGCACCACCACACCTGGCTAAATTTGGGATTTTGTTTTTGTTTTTGTTTTTTTGAGATGGAGTCTTGCTCTGTCGCCCAGGCTGGAGTGCAGTGGCGCAATCTCGGCTCACTGCAAGCTCTGCCCCCCGGGTTCACGCCATTCTCCTGCCTCAGCCTCCCGAGGAGCTGGGATTACAGGCACCTGCCACTACACCCGGCTAATTTTTTGTATTTTTAGTAGAGACGGGGTATCACCATGTTAACCAGGATGGTCTCGATCTCCTGACCTCGTGATCCGCCCGCCTCGGCCTCCCAAAGTGCTGGGATTACAGGC